AATGTTCTGAGCTCTCCTATGCCACGGGTTTGTAGCGCCATACATGGTATTCTCTTGGACTGCGTTTACTAGTGAGGAGCTCATCTTTAAACCCTAACAAAAGTTAAATAATGATCCTCTGCTCCGTCCTCGAGAACAGATTAACAACAGAGGAAAACTTATGGTGAGAGGGAGCAGAAGTCACTTACTTTGGACATGGCTGGTTATTTTGTCCATCAATAAAATTGCATTCTTAAAATACTACTAGCTACATATACACAAGTATCTTTGGTAATTACCAGGGATCCTGGTTTTCCCCATTTAAAAAATCCCAAATCCTCTAATTAAAAACCCCCAAATCCATGATTTTCTGTGATTAAAATGAAACACCACTTTTATGGATTTTGTGTGTACACCTTCCCCCAGATGCTTGATTGAGGCACTAGTAGGCTTCCAAATTGCTTTAAAATTGCAAGCATATCAATAAAACGTTTCCCACATTTTTTTCCTTTTAAAGGAGAAATCTGTAATTACCAGGGATCTGGATTTTCCGTTCACTGGAAAAACGCAGATTTTTTTCCTTTAACAGAGAAATCTGTGTTTTTCCTGCAGCAAATGGAAAACCTGGATCCCTGGTAATTACAACCAATAACAAATTGTATCAAACAGTAAGTGAGCTAAATTTCAGTATATGGATATGCAATCTGTGAAGTAACTGCAATTAAAAGATCAGCTAAGTCCTATTTAAGAACATATAGATTTCATAGACATTAGGGCTGGAAGGGACCTCGGAAGATCATCGAGTCCAGCCCCCCGCCCAAAGGGCAGGAAGTCAGCTGGGGTCATAGGATCCCAGCAAGATAAGCATCCAGTTTGCTCTTGAAGGTGTTCAATGTAGGCGCTTGAACCACCTCCGGTGGCAGGCTGTTCCAGACCTTGGGGGCTCGGACAGTAAAGAAATTCTTCCTTATGTCCAGCCTGAAACGGTCTTGTAGTAGTTTATGACCATTCGACCTAGTGGTCATCCCTTGGGGCGCTCTGGTGAACAAACGTTCCCCCAGATACTGGTGGTCACCCCTGATAAACTTATAGGTGGCCATCAGATCACCCCTGAGCCTGCGCTTTTCCAGGCTAAAGAGCCCCAGGGCTCTCAGCCTGTCATCGTAGGGTCTGCTTCCCTGACCTCTGATCATGCGCGTGGCTCTTCTCTGGACTCTCTCAAGCTTCTCCACATCCTTTTTGAATTGTGGAGCCCAAAACTGGACACAGTACTCCAGCTCCGGCCTCACTAAGGCCGAGTACAGGGGGAGAATGACGTCCCGGGATTTTCATCATTTTTTTTTGTTTTTGCAGATTTTTCTTCTGTATTGACTTCAGCAGTTTCAGCTTCTGCCTTTCATTTCAGAACAGTACCTTTTAGCAATAAATACCAATCCATTTTCATCCTGTAATAGCATGAAAAATATTGAACTCACCAGCAGAATAAGCTGTACTGCACAAATGTTTCTTGCTAAGTGGGTACTTTACATAGGTTTTTCACCAGTTCCAAGGGACGCCCCTGCCCATTATGGGACAGGAAGGCCTGGGTGAGGGAGATTCCTTACCCTCCATTAATGCTGACCTCAGGAAGGAACATCTTGAGAGGCTGGACACCTTCAAGTCATTCGACCCTGACAGTTTACACCCCAGGGTACTCAAGGAGCTGGCAAGCATCATAGCTCAGCCCCTGGCACGGATCTTTGAGAACTCCTGGTGCTCTGGTGAAGTGCCCGAAAATTAGAAGGAGGCCAATGTGGTGCCTATCTTCAAGAAAGGGAGAAAAATGGATCCGGCAAACTACAGGCCCATCAGCCTGACCTCTATCACAGGGAAGGTCTTAGAAAAGGTTATCAAAGAGACCATTCTTAACAGACTGGCCAATGGCCGCATCCTGAGGGATAGCCAGCATGGGTTTGTTGCGGGTAGGTCTTGCTTGACCAATCTCATTTCCTTCTACGACCAGGTGACCTATCACCTGGACAAGGGAGAAGAGATTGATGTCATATATCTTGACTTCAAAAAAGCCTTCGATCTGGTGTCCCATGATCGCCTCTTGGAGAAACTGGCCAATTGTCGCCTTGGGTCCTCCACGATCCACTGGCTGGAAAATTGGCTCCGGGGTCGGACCCAGAGGGTAGTAATCGATGGAAGTCACTCATCGTGGTGTCCTGTGACCAGTGGGGTCCCCCAAGGCTCTGTCCTTGGACCCATACTGTTCAACATCTTCATTAATGATGTGGACACTGGAGTCAGAAGCGATCAGAACTGGCCAAGTTCGCCGATGACACCAACCTCTGGGGCAAAGCATCCCTATTTAATAGGTTGGCTTTTTCCTGAGCGTCAGTTGTCAGTTGCCCCATCTGTTTCAGCAGGGGTCCAGTGTTGCCCCTGCTTTTTCTCTGGCTCCCCACATATCTGAAAAAGGACTTTTTTTATTGTCCTTGATGTTCATAGCTAGTTGGAGTTCAGCTGAAGCCTTGGCTTTCTTGGTCTGCTCCCTACAGGACCGGACCAGTGCAGAATAATCCTCCTTGGAGGTGACTCCCATCCTTTGTAGGCCTTTCTTTTTAGCCTCAGGAGGTCTGCTAGGTCCCTGGAGAGCCAGGGGGGCTGCTGTGCCCTCTTGCTGCCTTTCCTCCGAGATGGAATAGACTTAGTTTGTGCATTGAGGATCGCTCCCTTGAGGAGCAACCACTCTTCTTGAACTCCCCTCTCCCCGTGGTCATGGTCCCTTAGGGCCTCACTGAGCTATTTTAGTAGGACTATTACAGGTATGGGATTGTTTCAATTGGAACATAAACACTACGCAGTTAAATGTTTACTGGACTTGTATATAAATCTGTTCATTCTGATTTGCTGATGCCATCAGTGGAAACTGGATTGATCCAAACTTTTTCCATCCAGCACAGAAAAATGCTAAATTATAGCAAAAAATGGCATTGTTTCCCAGTATTTTTAATATGCTAACAAACTTCAGCCTTTGGTTTGGAGTTTATTTGGCCTAAAGTAAGATTATGTGAAGCAGATTACCAGAAACTAGGTACATAAATAATTAATGCTACAGGTCTTGGTTTGCTGTGAACACACATTAATTGCACAGGCAATCCCAAATACACTGCTAGTGAACAGTGTGGTAAATAGTGTATATTTCATAAGAAACTTGTCAAAGGCCCTGTTATAATTCATACCTGTGACACTCCATTTTATATGATGAGATAACAGTAGACTTCTATGCTCTAAAGTACAATCAGAAAAAGAGCCAACTAGACAACTGTGCTAATAGCAGTAAGGTTGTGAAACATGGTTGGAAGTAATGTAAGAAAAAGACAGCTCAACTAATTGCTCAACTTGAAGAAGTTTGATGTAAGTACTAATATCAATGTGCAAAACTGGCAAGATAAAGTTAGCCAATTCAGTTAACTAAATCAACTTTATAGAACTGTAGTGACCTCCTTCCCACAGAAGAATAAAAATTAAAGTTCATGGTATTGCATGGTCATAGTGTTCCATAGTCTGTTTTTATTTAAAAAAAAAAAACCCTGAAAAATTCCCTGATTTATCTTCAAAACAAAAACCTGCTTGACATCAGGATAAAAAGAAGAAAAGTAAAAAAAAATTAATTTAAATTGGGGAAAAATTAGCTGGGGGCGGGGTAAGGCTGGGACTAGGGAAGGGGTGGGGGGAGGGACCCAGCCCAGCCCATCAGCCATTCCTGGGGCTGCAGCAGGGAGCAAAGCGGGGGTGGGTGCAGGGTCAAGGCTGCTACACATCCCCTGGGAGGGCTGTGGCTTGAGGGGCTGTGCCGGGCTCTTCTCAGGAGGCCTATGCCGCCAGATCAGCGGCAAGAAGCACGTGGCGTCGCACCCTGCCTTTCTTCCCTGGCTGCTTTCGTGCCTCTCCCCTCCTGTCTGCCTCACCCTGGGAGGGCCTGCAGCTCCCAGCGCCCAGGGCAGGGCTGAAGCCAGAGCCACCAGCATGCAGCTCGGACCCACCTGCCCTGGGAGAGATTCCCCACGGGCTAGCCCGCTCCACCTGGGGTCAGAGCCAAGAGCCCCATGCCTCCAGCCACCCTCCCCTGGCCACCGCCAGCCCCCTGCCCCTGCTCCGCATGCAGCCACCGCCCTCCTTCCCCCCCCCCACCAACATCCAGCCAGAAACCTGTGCCTCAAGTAACAGGCACAGCAGCACTTTCAGCTTACCAGTACCACCCGTTTTCCAGTTCAAATCCTTGTTAACCCGCACAAGTGGGGAATGGGCTATTTCCCATGTGTGCCAGTTAACAGGGATTTGAACTGAAAAACAGGTATAAATCAGTAAAACCTTAATGACTTAAAAAAAAAAATCAGGGAGTTTATCAGTAAAAAAAAATTGGTAAAAACAGAATGTGGAACACTACATGTTCAGAAGGATCTGAGTGTTGTCCTTTATCAGTGCAGGTAGATTAAGAGAGGGTGCTGAAATAAAGGTGGCTAAAGAAAGGGCTTGCGAGTTTCTTTCCCACTTGCTCTACACACGTTCTCCATAAAACTCACCTTTCTGCTATTTATCCCTTTTTTTTTTTAATTTAAAGCTGTAACGAGTCCTGTCTGTGTGTGTATATAATAGTCTCCTTAGAGACTCGGGTGCGTCTACACAGGACCAACAGCTACTTAGTCATGGCGATGCAGTCCCCCAGTAGCGCATCATTATAATTAAATAGCTGCTAAATAAGCATGTGCCGCACATACACCTCAGTACGTGCTGTTACTGTGAGGTGATTTAATACTTCCAGAAGGAAGTACTAAATCACAGCGCAGTTGTAACTTTGCTATAGTGAGGGATGTAAACCTGCCCCAAGTCTGATTTAGATCTTTTATTCATGTAACTCCCCATGACTTCAGTGAACTTAGCACTGATTTTTTTACTGGTGCAAGACCAGAGCTGGGCCTTCTAATATTTTTCAGGCACACATTACTGTTTCACAGTCAGTATGTGTGAGGTGTATGTAAAAATACTTACAATTCATTTATTTTTGTACTGTCTATATATCAAACTGTACAAAAGTTTTAACAAGTAAGTTCCCAGTTTCTGTACTCACATTCTGTAAAGTCTATGTTGTATAAACTACACAATAATTAGTTCTGATTAAAAAAATATAAAAATAGTACAGTCTGGTATAACCAACTTACCAAAACTATTTGGATTGTCCTGCCAATATTTTATAAAAATATAGTAAACTTGATTAAAAATCTGAGGAATTCAATTGTACAATATACATTCTTTTGCAAATACAATTCTTTGCTTTAAAAACACACTTGTATGTTAATCTGCAAAGCTTCACGCCCTCACTTCTTCCTTTATTCTTTCTTGGCTTTATTCAAAAACTGCACGTAAAAGGGTTGTTAAAGGCAAGAGCAGCACAGTAGGTCTGAAAGCTGTTGAAGAACTGATCTGATAAAGAGGTTCTGTAGGGCACGAAAGCTCCTTTGGTGTCTGAAAGAAATCCGGGAAAGTGAAGTCAAGTTTGAAAGCACTTAAGTTAGCAGTCCCGTCTGGTACTTCCAGTTGCTTCAGTTTCGATGGAACTCCTGGTACTGTAGCCTAAGGACAAATAGAAGAGGGTTCATGCTAGTTTGGTTTGCTCATTTGAGTCATTTTAGTTGTGTAGTTTCCATTGCAAACATTGTTGAGTGGTGCTTTGCATAGCCTAGGTGATTATCCAAACCTGTTAAAGTTATTGAATTAGCCATTTAAATGAGAAGGGTATGACATCTTTTACAAATATTTCAGCCTATCTACAATGACAAATACAGATAATGTGGCGATACAGTCTCATTTGGCAGTCTTTTTCAGTGATGATAGTTAATTTTCCTTTTCAGTTGGGATTTAGTTAACTTTGCTTTATTTTATTTGTTGACTAAACGGATGAATGGTTAACTTGGTCATCAACACGATTTAGAAACCCTTTGTGGGGGGGAAACTATTGGTTGACTAAACTTGTGGTCACCTATCAGAGGAAAGAAATGAAGTCTGCATCAGGTAATAGAAATGAGAATTCAGTCTGAAGAGGCTTATAAGAAAGTGTCTGATGTGCATAAAGCAACCACACTAGTCAGATGTCAGTCTTGTGACAGATGTCAGACGTCACTGTTTTCTTTGTTTTTAAAACACATTTCTACTCTGAAAAATAACTATATAAAAATGGCAGTGTCTTGCTTGATCAATCCTTTCCCTGGGTGCAGTCACATCTGTTATTTTTAAAATGACATCTTTTCTCCCTGAGACTCTCTGGGTAAGGCTGATTATTTATTATTGGGGCTGATACGATCCAATTTCTGATACAGCTGGTAAGTAGTGTGGTGGCAGGGGAGGAGGAAGGGAAGGGGCAGGCGCTGCCTTGTGGTGGGGGGGAAGGGAGAGGGAAGGTGGCTACTACTGCTGCTTGCATCCCAGGAGAGCAAGGGGCAGGGGGCTTGTGCCCCCCTGGATCGGGCAGGCTGCAGCCAGGGCTGCACAAGGCTCTTCTCGGTGGGGGCTGGGTTTGGAGCAGGCATGGACGGCACTGGGAGGATGCTGTCTGTATCCACCCCAAATTTCGCCACCGCTCCGCTCTCAGTGCTGTCACTGCCACCAGCCACCCAGCACAGCCCTGGCCCAATGCTCCTCCTCCAGCCACATGCCGGGAAGAGCTGGGACTGCGCCAGGCAGTGACAGCAGCACTGGGAGTGGAGTGGCGGTAAAATCAGGTCAATGCAGCATCCTCCCAGCACTGCCAGTGCTCACTGCAAACCCAGCTCCTGCTGAGAAGAGCCCCATGCAGCCCCAGCTGCAGCCTGCCCCGCCTCGCACAGATCTGGGAGGCACACCCCTCCTGGGGTGCAAGCAGTGGCAGGAACAGTCTTCCCTCTCCCCCCACCGCCTGGGCAGTACATACCCCTGCCCCCTCCCTCACTGCAGGGGGTGTGGATCTGCTCCCTCACCCCCACCCCAGCTCTCCAGCTACCAGCTGTGCTCCTTGCTGTTTGAGTGCTGCAGTGCAGCACAGGCAGACAAGGTTCCTTGGGTGAATTTGATACCTTTTATTAGACTAACCCAAATAGTTGGAGAATAGTTATTAAGCAAGCTTTCGGGTTCAAAAACCATTTGTCAGGCTAAGGAAGTTTCAGCAGTTGGTGTGTGCTCTTCCTGGAAATGACCTGGACTCTGACCAGTCGTGCCTGTGCCCCCTTCCCCTGCAAGGCTATCTCCTTCCTATTCCTTTGCCTCTTGCTAAGAATCCAGAAACATTTCCAGTGAGAGTGGCCTGTAAGACACCCTTCACAGAGTCTAGAGTTTCCTTTTATGTCCATGTAAATGGACTGGTCTTCGGTATTGCAACCATTTTAAGGTTGATTTTAAAGACCACATAGATCAAAGTCTTGATCTTTGGCCTTGCTTGCTGCTTCTTCTCCAGCAGCAGCTTCCCTGTCTCTGGAGCACAAGGACTTTTCAGAACCAGGTGCAGGTCAGCTATAACTTGGTCAGCCTAACCTCTTTTCTTCTTGGTCAGCAGACAAGCTTTTACTTACCATCACTTCAACAAGAATAGGCAAGACCCATCTGGTAATGGCAAATCCTCATGGCACTATGTTCCTTCTAGACGAGGTCTCCTTGGAGATGTTCCAAGTTCCTGCCCAAAGCTATTAATGTTTCCCCAGCCAACAGACCTGTCTGACAATGTTCTTTCCAAAATAGCACTTCTCAAAGACAGAGGCATCACTTTATACTTGAGATGTCAGGCAGACCTGGTCTTCTAGCTACAGATGACTTAGATCACTCCTGTGGCTCTGTGCTGCCATAGTGGAAAGGTCAAAGGGCACAGGGCAATCTCCATCTACATGCTGTAAAAGTAAATCTGACTTTGCAGTGTATTGCAAGATGGCAAAGATGGAGCCTTCAGCAGTGGTCAGAGCACACGCTCCACCAGGGTTCAGCTATCATCTGTGACTTCTCAAGAATGCAGGTGTGTAGGAGAGAGACAAGGTTGCCACATGTGCCTCTAGTTTTATTGTCAGTGAGTGCTGTCACCATTGAAGCTTCCAGATCAGACTCCGTTTGAGAATGCAGTCCTGCAATTTGTTTTTGCTTAAGGATGAGAGAGACTACCTCCTGTGGAGGTATGGGATCACCTATACTGGAATGGCCCTATGGACAACAGCTTGAAGGAGAAAGAAGTCATTTAATACAGAAAGTAGAGAGGTTTGAGAGATCTTCTCCATATACATGTTCTAGATCCTATCCTCTTATACAGAGCCCTAAGGCACTCTGGGATTTTGTGGTTGAATTGAGTGGAAGCATGAAGTGCCCTTTACACACACACAGTGTAGACCACATATGTGTTGTGCCAGCCCTGTTAAGGCAAACAGAACAATGTGTTCTAGTTCCTGAAGTGAGTAACTTCATTTATCACCAATATTGAGATCACATGAGTCTTTAGCTGGTGCTAAGGTTTGTCCAACTATGCAATCTTCAGAAAATCCTGAAGAGTTTTCTAAGAAACATTTTTGGTAGCTAATATTGGCAAACAGCTCTGGATACACAGTGAAAAGGTGCCATTTTTTTCACAACCCCTTTTTCTCATTACCACCTCATTTTAACTGAAAGCATCAGTAAAAAAAAGATTCAAAATATGCAAAAGCACAATCTGTTCAAGCATCTTACTGACAGGCAGCAGTTTTGTTCTGTCATTCTAGTCTCTGCTGCTACCTCGCCTTTGATCTGTGCCCACATTAGGCCTCTTGAACCCTTAAACTGCTAGTTTCCTAAATGCCAACTTGATCAGGATTGGTTGATGTTGCTATCAAAAGGTAAACAGGCATTTAGGTGGAACTTCTGTCTGTGCAGATACTGCATGTTTATGAAAAAAGTCCTCAATTCCATAGTATTTACTGTCTTGTGGTTTTCAAAACTCTCTGAACATAATTAGGAACCAAGATTTAAGTAAAGCAAGAGTCTTACATTAATTTTGTATTTTCCAGGCAGGAGAAGAAGATAATATTCTCCATATTTGTTGGTTTTGTAAGGACACACATGTTGCCTTCCTTCAGCTTCCACGATTGCATTTGGTATGGGTTTTCCAGACCCATCGAAAACTTGACCTTTAACACCTAGGAGCAAGGATGAGAGAGAGTGAGGGTGCAAATATGACAAGTGTCAGATTCAGTTTCTGGCCTGGAGGGCAAGCCCTTTCAAAGTTGAATGCACTGTGTGCCAGTTCTATTTATTTCCTCCACTACTAGGTGAAAGAGTTAGTACTCAGGACACGTCTACATCACCAGGGTAGCCAGGTCAGGCAGCAATGCCTTCAAATGTGCTTCTCCACATAGGCTGTGGTATAACTGTTGGCACTGCAGCCAGCAGGTTAAAGAGCATTGCTGAGCAATGGCAGCAGATCTATCTGCAGCACTACATGAAGGTAGCCACTCAGCTCCCAGTTTGGGAGGCAGTCAGCATGGAGCCAGCTAGACTGTGAGGCCACTGCTGCCCTGCATAGGAAGTTTGTGGTATAGCTATGCCCCAAGTGGGCTGTAACAGAACTAGCTTACTCAGGTTATGCCTTTTTGATCTTCAAGGTCCCTTCCAGCCCTAATGTCTATGAAATTTTATTCCTGGCTGCAGCATGAATAATCCTTTCCATTCCCCACATAGCACAGAGGAAAAACTATACTTCAAAAGCAGGAATTTAAATCATGATTAGAATCCCTGGTCAGGAAGCCTTAATTTAATCACTGTTTTCTACAAAAAGTACATTCTTGTTGTTTGATGTCCTTTATTCATTTAACTTCTTGAAGCTTTGCACTTTTAGAGGTAAGGGCTTGACTGTGTACACAAACTTGCCGAGAGACAAGAGGGATGTGTCACAACCCAGTGATTTTGGTGCCTTGGCACGATGGAATTTTCCCGCTACGTGAGAGCCTCTCGCAAAGTAAAAGGTTTTCTGTTGCAGCAGAAAACCCCGGTGCAAGAGAGTTCCCGCCATTCGAATGCAAATTTGTGTCCCGCTATTGGCTAGTTCTAAATTATTACTACGTGGCGGCTGGGAATTGGCTTGCTGGCCATTTAAAATTTTGTGCGACTTCCGCCCAAGTCGGAGAACTTTGAGCATGCTGCAGAGTGCCTCTAAAGAGATCTGACTTGCAGCTGAGCTGATCGATAGATTGATCACCTATCGATTCTTCTCCCCGTCGCCGAGCGCAATCCCCGACGTACCCTTGCCCCGCCGGCTTGATTTGTGGA